CATGCGCTCATTCTATTCTGTCTTCGTTACCTCCCTATTGCTTGATCGACTAGGCGACTTACAGGAGGGAGGATTTATTTGGGCTTAGGTGTTCAGAGGGATGAGAGTCCGTCACCATCCTGTGGAGAAGCATGGCAGCCGGCTGGCGTGACAGCTGGAGCAGCCAGCTGAGAGCCCAAATCTTAAACTAGAGAGAGAGAGAGAGAGAGAGAGAGAGAGAGAGAGAGAGAGAGAGAGAGAGAGAGAGCTGAGAGTGTCATGTGGCTTTTAAACCTTAGAGCCCACCTCCAGTGACATATTCCCTCCAGCAAGATCACATCTCCTAAACCTCCCCCAAACAGCGCCACCAGCTGCCAACCAAGTGTACAAGCACCTGAGCCTATGGGGGACATTCCCATTCAAAACAGCACATGTCCTAAGTCTACATTTTAGAAAATTCTACAAATTGCACACTGACAGATGGGCTTCTAGGTCAGCAACCGAAAGACTCTCCACACAGGCAGGTTTGATTTGTTAGAATTTAGAGTGTGTAACACTTATGTCAAGACACAGCTATCTTTCCTCTGCTTCTGAACAAGAGGTTCTGATCTGGAAAGTCTATATATTGAGACTTCATCTTAAGAGCCATCAGAGAGTCTCCTCTGAGCCCTAGGACCCAGGACCAGTGAGCCAGGGTGCTTCTTCCTGACTCCTGTAAGTCTGGGGCTACTATTCTCATTAGTGAGGCTTATATGTACTGTTGCTATTGCCATGGACATGAATGCATGAACTCATAGCCTGGCATACACATACACATGTGAACTGCAAATACATGTATATTGATGTGAGCATTCATAAGCACATACATACACTTGTACATATATTCACAGTGTGGTCCATACACATGTATTTAGTCATATGGCACTTGTGCCCAAGGTGTCCTGATGCCTTTCCATTGTCTCTACAAACAATCATTTCTTCTCTTTTACCGAAGAAAATGTTTTCATACAATATATTCTGATCACAGTTTCCCCCTAACTCCTCCCAGATCCTCCCCACCTTCCCACTCACCCAACTCCATACTTTTTCTTTCTCTCTCCTTAGAAAACAAACAGGATAAAAAGAAAAATCATAAGAAACACACAGACACATAAAAATAAAACCCATAAAAACACAAGATCAGATCATTCTTGAAGCAGTCATGGACTGATCTATTAGTTGGACTTCCTAGCTCTGCTCCCACCTCCCAGACAACCCATACCTTCTGTAATGATCACAGCTTTCTCCTGGCTGCCTCCTTATGCTCAGGAGCCCTCTGAACTTCTCAGTGGTCCTTGGAAACACAGATTGGAGTCAATAGGGGGCCTCATCGAAAGAGCAAGCTTCTCAGCTCAGGAGCTGCATTCACAACGTATTAGAGCTCCTGTGGAACCCCTTCTCTAGCCACTTTTTTGTTTTTTTGTTTTTGTTTTTGTTTTTTGAGACAGGGTTTCTTTGTGTAGCTTTGTGCCTTTCCTGGATCTCACTCTGTAGACCAGGCTGGCCTCGAACTCACAAAGATCCACCTGCCTCTGCCTCCCGAGTGCTGGGATTAAAGGCGTGTGTCACCACCGCCCAGCCCTAGCCACTTTTTTTTTTTTTTTAATCACAGAAACTTCAGACCTTGGTCTTCATTCCCAAGTGAGAAGTCAATAGATCCAAAGTATGAATATTTTTAACAACCCTTCTCTGGAAAGCAATACCAGCCTACATTTTTCCACAGAGCTATTAGATGGCCCATATTTCAGTGCCTTTATTAGTTTTGGAGAGGATCAAAACCAACCAGCCAACAAAAACAAAACAAAACAAACAAAAAACCAAAAACACAAGACAGAGGGTGAGGAGATAGCTTGGCCAGTAAAACGCTTACTACATAAGCATGAAGACCTGCATTCCACCCCAGGACCCAGGTAAGAAAGCCAGGCCCAGTGCTCACACTGTGGTGGCAGCACTGGGGAGGTGGACACAGGCAGACACCTGTGGCCAGATAACCTTGCGTATGTAGCACACACCAGGTCGGTGAAAGATCCCACCTGAAAGAAAGGCCAATGGCACCTGAGGACGGACACCCAAGGTTGACCTCTGGCCTCCAAATGCTCATACACAGATACCTGAAAACACATGTTCAACACATGCACACACATGGGGAGGGAGGGAGGGAGGGAGGGAGAGAGAGAGAGAGAGAGAGAGAGAGAGAGAGAGAACCCAAAAATCCAGAACAAAAATTGTTGGGGGATAGATGCACCTGAGTGCTGTACCCTAGGAGGCTGGAGACCAGAGCGCTAGGATCCCCTGAAACTGAAATTACAGGCAGTTGTGAGCTGCCTTGTGGGTGCTGGAAATCAAACCTGGGTCCTCTGGAAGAGCAGCAAGTGCTCTTAACTGCTGAGCCATCTCTCCAGCCCCTATGCTTTGAATTTTTAATTCTTGGATTATGAATAACATTGAGCACATTTTGTCTTCACTGCCTATTCATATTTCTTTCTTCCTCTATGATCTGAACTTTGACTGGCTGCACTTATTTCTCCTTCAGTATAATCCTTTGTCCTAACAAGCATGGACAGATCATCTGTTCTATCGGTATCATGGTAGAACACAGAAAGCACCTGGAATTTTGGTGGACAATTGGCCATGGATAGGAAGGAGCCAGCTGCCTGGTGCCAGTCTTCAGTAGTACAATGGAGCTGGAGACAGTGGTATACACATGTAATCCTACCTCCTCAGGAGGCTGAGGCAGGAGGATCACAGAATGAAGACCTGACTGAGCTACAAAATGAGTTCAGGTCCAGCCTGGGAAACTTAGCAAGTCTAAAAACAAATAAATAATAAACATAATAGAAGAGCTTGGATATAGCTTAGTGGTAGAGTACTTCCCTTGTATGCATGAAGCCCTAAGTTAGTATCCAGTAATCAATCCCCCTCCCAAAAAAAAAAGTAAAAGCATGATGGGTAAGACTATAAGCTGAAATCTAGCCACCTGAGATTGCAGCCTGGCTTCCCACCTACCTGCTGTGTGAGTGATGTTAGGCACATGACGTAACCTCTTGGGGCCTCAATACCCTTGTCGGTGAGATAGAGATGAAAATATGATCTGTGTAATAGAGCTGTGCGAAGAATTAAAGGCCAAGCATGTGGTATAGCTTCCGGCCCACAACACTTGCAAGCACACAATACTTTTAGGAATTCTTTGACAATTGCATACAATGTATTTTGATTATTCTCACTCCCAGTTTTCCTCCTAACTCCCCCCAGAACCACCCCCTCACCTCCTTACCCACCCCAACTTTATACACACTTGCTTGTGCTCTCTTCCTACTTGCTCTCTCTCTCTCTCACTCAAGAACACCAATTCCCTTTTGCACTTCCGTAAGCTCATGGGTGTGAGCTATGGGCTGGAGCGTGGTTGACCTACCAGGGGCCACACCCTTAAAGAAAACAGACTCTCTCTTCACCAGAAGCCGTCAGCTGTCAATAGCTTCTCAGTTAGGGGTGGAGGGGGCTGTGAGCCCCCCCACTTGCTGGAATGTTGCCTGGCTTGGTCTTGTGCAGGTGACCATAGCTGCTGTGAGTTCATGAGTCCTGGCATGTCCAGGACCCCCCCCCCCCCCCCGTGAATGCTCCAGTCCTCTCTGAATTCCGGCTCTTCGACTCTTTCCACCCATCTTCCCACACAACACAAGGTGATGGTGTACATGTCCCATTTGTGGCCGAGAATGCCGCTGACACTGACTCTCCGCACTTCGATTAGTCACACAACACTTCTTCATTACTGAGTATGACTGCAGCTACTGTGGCCATTTAAATGGTCATAAACTTATGAACTTCCTTGTCCTATCCTGCATTTCTTCCCTTGTTCTCCAGGAACCTTCTGGAAGACATAAGATGTGATAGTAAAGAAACCCAGCAGTTAGCAAAATTTTTTCATGATGGCTAGAAAACATAGCACACTGCTTCTCCTGTCCTTCCCTGGGAAGAAGTTTATCTCACCTGCTTCTCCCCATTGACCCAGATGAACCTGCTTCGTTGGGTCACATAAAGCATACATGAGGGAGAATCCTGGAAAAGCTCTTGAATTCACTCTAGCTGTACCAAATATTGGTATTGGTTAAGGGAGTTTATGATTCCAAAACATTTTCTCTCATCCCACCTCTTCTAATGATCTTCTAGTTGATGTTGATTTGAGGGATATATATCAGGTTGTATGTGTATTTGCATGTATATGGTGAGGAATATATTTTAGAGAGAACCCTAATATCAAGTAGGTTTGTTAAATTTCTCATTGAAGCGTGTTGGCTATGTTAAGTGATGCCTGTGTGGATAGGGAGGCTGAGAAGGCGTATGTGTGGGTCCCAAGGTTTTGACTTAACCACCACCCATAATGTAAAGGAATATCTTAGAGGGCCAGCTAGTTTTCCATGGAACGTTTTCCAGAAGTGTTGCCTTACAGAAAATGGAAAAGTTTTTCAAGAGTCAGGTAACTGAGTCAGGCTTTTTTTCTTTTTAATGGCCAGAGTTTTGGGTGACTAGATTAAAGAAAGAATATTTAAATTTGTATAAGATATTATATATATATGAAAGAAAATAGATGTTTTTAATTGCTCTACCAAATGGGATGGTTTGTGTTTCTAATGAAAGAAGCATATTTTAAATACTTTATAAAAAATTAAATATCCCACCCTATATAAATCTCTAATGAGATACTCATTTGGGGGATTTTATCAAAGAGGAGACTTCCTGAGTTTGTCCAAGATAGGTAAGAATTGGAGAACCCAGAAGCAGTGGGTCTTTAATGGTGCCCTCCTCCTATGAACTTCTTTTGATGGTAACCTTGGTGACAGCCGGCTCTTCTCTAAATCATCTCATCTCTCCCACTTAAAAGAAGAGTGAATGAATGTAACAATCCTAACTTCTCTTCTCTCTTCCTCCCTTCTTCCTTCTCCTTCTCCATCTCCCTGCCCCGTGTTTCCTCCCCTGTTCTCCAGGAACCTTCTGCATCATCTCACTGTGCACCTGTGTGGCTGGGATCAACTTTGAGTTATCACGTTACCCACGCTACCTATATGGACTTCCAGATGACATCAGCCACGGCTATGGATGGTCCATGTTCTGTGCATGGGGGGGCCTGGGCCTCACGCTAATCTCGGGATTCTTCTGTACCTTGGCCCCCTCTGTCCAACCTGTCCCGAGGACCAACTGCCCTAAATCCAGACCAGAAAATGGGACAGTGTGCTAAAAAAAACAAACAAACCCATACATATATATATATATAAATATATATATAATATACATATATAAAATGAAACTCAATCAAGATGATGCCAGTGCCAAGGTAGAGTTGAGTTGGCTCAGGCACCTGCATCTCATCAGACTTTGTGTTGCCTCATCTCCAAGATGGGAAAAGTGTTCCCATCCTGTGGCTCTCTCATCAGTTCTTGACTTTGGCTTCATGATTTCTTCAAGACAGAGTGAAAGCCACCACCACCTGCGGTAGCATCTTGACCCCTGTCACTCATAAGGATGTGGTGGTGAACTGGAAGGGACAGAGGCAGTGGTCTGAAGCAACACAGATACACAGAAGGAAGAGCTACACTCTAGGCCATCAGGAAAGGCCACCACCACCCCAGCCATCATACCATGGGGAGACTCAGTCCCTTGAGTTCATAGAATGTAACCACATCTTCGAGGCCATTTTCAGAACCACTTCTCTGCTCCTCCTGTTCTGAGCTCCTTCCCAGCCCACCAGCGACACACCAAGAGTGGAAGAGAAAACAGACTGAGAAGGAAGTTTTCTCTGTGTGGCCAAACCGTTGGACAATGTCTTAGAGGTGGGAAGGGGAGAGAACATGCTGAGAGGCAAGATCAGCATCAACAAAAGGACATTTCAGTGGATGCTCGGAAAACCCAGTCTTACCTTCCAGCTGCCTTACACCCAGTTAAACGAGAGGCCACCCTGTCCTCCCCTGCCTGCGCTCTCTGGGCAGATCGAGCCTTCGAGCAATGCTGTGATATGTGTGTGTGAGCGTGTGTGCGTGTGTGCATGTGTGCATAGGTTTTGGGTGGTTGCCTTTTTCTTTTCCACTCTTTGAATGGAAATATCATCTTATTCCTCTCTCTCTCTCTCTCTCTCTCTCTCTCTCTCTCATTATTATTGTTTTTGACCCATTATGGAGGCCTCGAGATCTGGGAATTATATTGAAGGGCAGGCCTTCATGGGTACCAATGCAGCAGCTGCAGATCCCTGGAGAGAGACAAAAGTGTGTGTGTGTGTGTGTGTGTGTGTGTGTGTGTGTGTGTGTGTGCCTGCCCATGCACTTGTGTATATGTATGCACATGTGGTGGATATTTCCTGAGTGTGGGGTTTTATTGTTTGTGTTGCACTTTTTTTTTTAATTTCTGGTACAGCTGAAATTCCCAGAGGGCAAAACCAAGAACAAAACCACTGGGCCAGAGAACCCTGTGGTACTTCACAGCATGGTTCTGGAACTCCGCAAGATTTAGTCCACTAATTTTGGAAGTTCAAGACACAGCTGGGCACAAAAGTCCTAAGAGAAGAGGGGGAACATACAGTTCAGGAGAGAGAAGGAATATGGCCTCTGGTTGCTGATGTACAAGTACATATACCAAACAAGACCTTCACTCCCCATTGTGGGGGCTGTCCTTTGTCACCGGACATCTGCTCCTTTTCTAGGGGTGAGCCCTGTACAGATGAAAGGAAATGGGTCACATGCAGAGAGAGCACCTCCATGTCCCATGGGCTCAAGTTTGTATGATATTATGTAAATTAATGGAGAACTCTTGACTCTTTCCTTTCTCATCCCTTTCCTCTTGATCTTCAAGACCATGAATCCCAAAAATAGCGATCTCTCTTAGTGGCTAGCACCCAGACTGAGGTGGGACAAGGCCATCCAGGTGTCTCAGGCTCGCTTGAGCAGATTGGCACTGGGTGCCGGCAAGGGCAGAAGTCAGCCAGAGCTGTGAATGCCACACGGCAGGAGCAGCTCATGGTTACCTTGGGGACCCTGCTGGTGCCAACTGTCCCTGGGGAGGCAAGGAGAGAATCCTGAGCAGGCGCAGCCATGGTCAGCCATGCAGAAGGGGAGCTCAGCTGCTGCAGAACAGGTCTGCTTTGGGAACTCGGCCAACCACTCAGCAGCCTTCCCTCCCCCAAATGCTCCGCCGTAGCTCCTGTTCTCAGCCTCTTTTCCTACCGGACTGCTCACCTGCTAACAGTTTCCCTGTCCTCCCTCCATCCTACAGGCTGCAGGGCCTGATCGTCTCATTGGCCTTTGACTCTCCTCTCTCTCTCTCTCTCTCTCTCTCTCTCT